TGGGTGGTCCACTGTATTCAGTGTAAGCCTTGCTGTCTTTACTTTTCTGCTTTTTGTGACAGAACCGATCAATTATAAACATCACTTTTTATTGATCTCTAATTCAGATCAATTATACACATCACTATTTATTGACCTCTAAGTGACATGATTCCACATATCATAAATGAATGTCTTAGGCTTCTTCTGTTGAATTAAAATAGCATAGTGCCTGCCATAAAGTAAAGGCACGGGGACAAAGTACCTGGGAAAGAATGGCTCCCTAGGGGTGTTGAGAACCGATGAGACTCAGCCCACCTTACTGGTCATGGCTCAGAGCCGTGTGCCCTTGTAGGCTCTTCTCACGCTCCCCGCACACGTCTGACAGTACACTTAACGCATGATCTTTTAACTAACAACTTAGCGGCTGAGTCTATCACCAGACTGTTAGCCCCTCAAAGGGCTTTATCTTTTCCATATTTCTACTGCCAGCATCTAACACATCCCATGCATACTTGGAGCTGACTTTGCAATGTCTCAATGGCAGATAAATGAGCAAATCAACGTGAAAGTGTGCTGAACCAAAGTGTGAAGTAGAATGGGAAAGAGGAAGAAGTTAGCCTACTTAAAAAGTACACTTGACCCGTGAACCACACAGGTTTGAATTGTATAGGTCCACTTATATGCAAAATTTTAAAATAAATGCAGTCTGGTACTATGTTTTCTCTTCCTTATGATTTTCTTAATAACATTTTCTTTTCTCTAGCTGACTTTATTGTAAGAATACAGTAGAGAATACATACCACATACAAAATAGGTGTTAATCAACTGTTTGTGTTATCAGTAAGGTTTTCCATCAACAGTAGGCTGTTGGTTAAGTTTGGGGGGAGCCAAAAGTCATACATGGATTTTCAACTGTGTGGTGGTCAGGGGAGGTGTCAGCGCCCCTAATCCCCACATTGTTCAAGGGTCAATTCTATTTCCAGGACAGCAGTAGGAAAAAAAGGACAAATGGGCCCTTGGTAAGAGAAATGCATCTTTGATATTAGGAGGGGACAGAACTAACTCACTTTGAGTCATACACTCATGCAAGTCTAGAACTGAAACAGCCAACTCATAAAACAATTCCTTCGTGTCACAGACAAGGAAACTGATCCACCAAAACATGGAGGGACATACAATGGTGCTTTCAATAACTGGTGACAGATGGAACTAGACTTCAGGTCTGTACTCTTCACCTAGTGCTCTACCAATCAAATACAGTCAGATAGTAAGTGTAAAAACTGTTGTTGTACCATTGGGAATTTCCAGGGACTAATCATACACTGAGTAACAAGCAATGTGGACTACAGCCAAGGTAGCTTTACAAGTATATAAAAGCCCTGTAACTGTATTCTGGGAAAGATCAAGTTAAAAAAAAAAATGCCCCTTATTTAGACCATACACTACAATGATCCCTATAGATTATCAGACTCCGTGCTTTACTGGGATATGTAGACCTGCTCACTGAGCAAAGAAAAATCAATTCTCTTCCAGCAACACCTTCCATGCCGACTCTGGAAGCTTCAGTTATCAGAATGCAAAATGGAAAAGCACACATTACACTTAAATGCTCCACCGTGAGAAGTAAACCCCCTCCGCAGATAACCTGGATTTTAGGCAATGGCCTAGAGCTCTCTGGTAAGTAGGGACATGGTTCTCTTTCCTCCTTTGTTTTCCTTCCTCTTTAAACTTCCAAAGAATTTTTAAATCCTCTGGCACCCTCTGGTGGTATCAGGTGCCGGCAAATAACATTCAATAATTTGTCAGTTTTTTCCAGACAAATTAACTTTATAACCTATCAATACTGTGCCTTCATCTTGAAAACTTATCACAAATAATATGATTACATGTTTATACTTAAAACAAAGTAGAAACCTAAAATGGGATATTATGGTTTCTTAAAATTCAACATAATTTCATATATAGGTATGATATAGCTATTCCCTCAGCATGAACTTTTTAGCAGCCATAAATTTGAAAATACATTTAACATAATGCTTGTATATTGGAACAGGTAAGCTCCTCCTTATAAAGTACACTGCGATGTCATACCCTCAATAAAAATATTATGGTACCGAGCGCCTGGGTGGCTCAGTCCGTTAGGCGTCTGCCTTCGGCTCGGGTCGTGATCCCAGGGTCCTGGGATCGAGTCCTGCGTCGGGCTCCCTGCTCAGTGGGGAGTCTGCTTCTCCCTCTCCCTCTGCCTGCCACTCTGCCTACTTGTGTTCTCTCTCTGTCAAATAAATAAATAAAATCTTAAAAAAAATATTATGGTACCAAAGAATTTAACTTTGATTAGATTAAAGCAGGGTTCAACTGACTGAAGCAAGATAACTAATGGTCATGCTTGAGAACGGTTTATAGTTTGTTTACATTGTAATGTATGTTCCATTGGATTTTACATAATCAGAGAGAGATCCAGTCCAATGCCAATTCTACATCATTATAAGACCTCTCCTTTCATTTGCCTTATTCATTCACCCTGAGTAAGGTCTTGGGTCTTTGTGTTTGACTACATCAGGCTGTCCTTGTGTAACCATGATAAGCTTTGGATTTTTTTCCAGTAGTGAAGGTTCACAGAAACCTAACCACTGTTATTCAGCTCCTTCCCCCTGTGACTGGGCCAGGCATGTACAAGGCAGCTGACCGAATCTAGAATGACTTAGAAGTCTAACAGTTTTGCCAAGATGTCAAGACCATCGGTCCCCGAGAACCAAACCCACCCAAGGGTATTAAGTAGCCACAACCTCTTGCACTTCTTTAATCTGCTCCATAGGTGAAACCCACCATGAATTTGAAACTGATGGGAAGAAATGTAACAGCAGCAGCATCCTCAGAGTCCACACACTGGGCAAAAGCTCAACAGTGGACTGCGTCATCCGACACAAAGGCCTACAAGGAAGAAAACTGGTAGCACCCTTCCGATCTGAAGACTTGGGTAAGAAGAACTAATGATTGTCTTTTTCATTTAATTTACCTTAATATTACACTGTCAAACAAAATTAAATGGAATGGGAAGAGTCCTTCAGAGCGAGATCACTGTCCACAAAGCTCTCCTTAACAGCAAATTCCTTTAATGATTGAAATTTCTCCAGCTGAGGCATCATATTGTACCTGTTCCAACATTCGGACCCCAGTTGTGCAGAAAGCCTGGCAGGGCACCATATGCAAATAGCATCATGCTTGCTTTTTGATAATGCCAGCCAGCATAACTTGGCCAGTTTATTGCAGTCATGCTTTCAGAAAGGTCATCTGAAGCATACTTTATCTTTGTAGTTGACCCAAAAGGAGATAATAGCAACTGAAATAAATCTAAACTTCTCAACATTATTTTATGTTAACATAAAACAGTCAAATCAAGCCATGATTCCTCTTTAGATTTATTTGGTTATAACTGTTTTGCAGGTTCTAGTTTAACCATGTTAATATTCTGGGCAGAACAAATACTAGTAAATAAAATGCCAAATAGTAAATGTGAAGAGGCGTTGCCTCCATTTTCAGAATGTGTTCTCCGATTCCTTCATCAAAAGCAAAAAATAATAATTTTTAAACCCTAGAAAACTTCCTTTTTTTGAGAGAGAGAGTAACCATGAGTTGAGAGGGAGAGAGAATCTCAAGCAGGCTTTATGCCCAGCACAGAGCCCAAAGCAGGACTCGATCCCATGACCCTCAGATCATGACCTGAGTCGAAATCAAGAGTCGGATGCTTAACCGAATGAGCCACCCAGGTGCCCCTAGAAAACTTTTTGAGCCAACATGTATCTAATAAGAAGTACCATGAATCACACATCTATAATTAATAAGACTCTGACCTTCGTTATTTTATAAGGTACTTCTCAGTGTACAAGGAATTCCTCAAGTGCAAGGATTCACTCACACTAGCGAAGGAGGGGGCTGCTGGATGAGGATACATTTGTCGAGAAAGCTGCTCATGAAATAACTGCTAAATGCAAGGCACTGGTTAAGGAGAACACCATCATGGGGAAAGCGCTCTGCAGCCCTGTGGGGGCTGCTGCTGTGGCTAACGGCACCCCCTCCCTCCCTACGACACGCTTTCCACCAGTCGTTTTCTCAACAAACCAAAACTAGCAAGTCTTGAGGAAGCCGCATCTAGAAGACTGGGGCCCCACAGATTGGGCAGGCTCCTGTAATCTGACACATAGTCCTGCCTCTCCATGACTCATCCCCTCCAGCCTCTACAGTCAGCGGAGCATAGCACATGGGGGCGGGGGGTGCTCCTGAAAAATACTCAGGTTTTTTTTGAAGATTATTTATTTGAGAGAGAGAGTGCACGGGGCAAAGGGTAAAAGGAGAGAGAGAATCTCAAGCAGATTCCCCGCTGAGTGTGGAGTCCAATGCAGGGCTCGATCTCACAACCCTGAGATCATAACCTGAGCCAAAACCAAGAGTTGGACGCTCGACCGACTGAGCCACCCGGGTACCCCAGACATTCAGATTCTTAAACAGAAGAACCAATGATATTGAAAAAATGCATATTTTTACTCTTCAGCTATTGTTCAGGCCATCTACAAAAATTACTCCGGAGGGGAAATCACAGATTCTTCTCCATTATGGCCATAGTTCTATAGGACTCAAAATGATAGCCATAAGACTTCATAATAATAGGATAAGACTTAACTTTTATTTCCGATCTAACTATCGATTATTATTTAGCACTCACTGCCAGATCTCCATTAAGTATTCAAAGAGCAACTCCAATATCAGCTGTTGGTGGCTTCCATATGTTTAATGGCTTTTTTTCCCTTTGTCAAGTGACTACGCTGACATACAGATATTACACATGGGTTTTTTTTTTTCTTTTTATTAACACATAATGTATTATTTGTTTCAGAGGTACAGGTTCATCAGTCTTACACAATTCACAGTGCTCACCATAGCACATACCCTCCCCAATTCTATCACCCAACCACCCCATCCCTCCCACCCCCTACCACTCCAGCAACCCTCAGTTTGTTCCCTGAGATTAAGAGTCTCTTATGGTTTGTTTCCCTCTCTAGTTTTGTCTTGTTTCATTTTTCCCTCCCTTCCCCTATGATCCTCTGCCTTGTTTCTCAAATTCCACATATCAGTGAGATCATATGATAATTGTCTTTCTCTGATTGACTTATTTCCCTTAGCATAATACCCTCTAGTTCCATCCATGCCGTTGTAAATGGGAAGATTTCATTTTTTGATGGCTGCATAATATTCCATTACATATATATATACCACATCTTCTTTATCCATTCATCTGTTGATGGACATCTTGGCTCTTTGCACAGTTTGGCTATTGTGGACATTGCTGCTATAAACATCGGGGTGCACGTACCCCTTCGGATCCCTACATTTGTATCTTTGGGGTAAATACCCAGTAGTGCAATTGCTGGATCATATGGTAGCTCTATTTTCAACTTTTTGAGGAATCTCCATACTGTTTTCCAGAGTGACTGCACCAGCATTACACATGTTTTGTTCATCCAATAAGTTTAAAAAGTTTGATTAACTGAGGATGCTTTAAAACACATTTACAAGTAAGGATTCTGACCCCTTTCATTCCCACACTCTGCATGGAAGGACCTGGGAAAATAAAGATCAGACAAGCACCATATCTGGGGATGTGAGCAGTGTCTTCCTTTGAAAAATCCACACTTAGATGCTTGTGGAAGTGTGATGCTTGGAGAAGGAGAACAGAGCAGGAATAGATCAGACCCTCTTCAAAATGATTTACTTCATTTATTTAGTATTCCAAATGAAGAATCTTGATTTCCTATTACTTAACTGGAGGTGGGATTAAAAAACAAAACAAAACAAAACAAAAAACTTGAGCAACAGTTCTCAAACTTATGGATTTTGAGACCCCCCTATACTTCTACAAATAACTGAGTACCCCAAAGAATTTTTACTTAATGAATTGTATCTGTCAATATTTACATATTAGAAATTAAAACTGAAAAATGTTTAAATACTTATTTATTTAAAAAATAATTAACCACTACATAGAAACAGAAATGGTATATTTGTGTGGAAAAATAACTGTACTTTGCAACACCAAAATGTTAGTGAGAAAAATGGCACTGGTTTTCATTCTGAAATCTCTTTGGTACCTGGTTTAATAGAAAACAATTAGGTTTGGGGCCCCTGGGTGGCACAGTCAGTTGAGCGTCTGACTCTTGGTTTTGGCTCAGGTCGTGATCGCAGGGTCTTGAGGTTGAGCCCCACGTTGGGCTCTGTGCTCAGTGCAGATTCTGCTTGAGATTCTCTTTCCCTTTCTTTGATTAAATAAAAAGCTCAGGCCTTCTGGCTGGCTCAGTTGGTTAATGTCTGCCTTCGGCTCACGTCATGATCTCAGGGTCCTGGAATCGAACCCCGCATTGGGCTCCCTGCTCAGCGGGAGCCTGCTTCTCCCTTTCCCACTCCCCCTGCTTGTGTTCCCTCTCTCACTGTGTCTCTCTCTGTCAAATAAATAAATAAAATCTTTAAAAAAAATAAAAAGCTGAGAAGCACTCACAGATTCCATAAAGACATTACCTACCTGTCACATATCAGTATCAATATTTATAAAATTTCAGACACCTTTTCTATACACTCCCTGGTTGCAGGCCTGTTCATTGGTCAAATCTGTGCTAAGCTGAATGTCTGGAAACATCCCCAAACATTATTTTGTTTGTTTTGTTTTGTTTTTTATAGAGAGAGAAGGGAGGAGGGGCAGAGGGAGAGAGCAAATCTTAAGCAGGCTCCACGCCCAGCATGGAGCCCAATGCAGGGCTTGATCTCACGACCCTGAGATCATGACCTGAGCCAAAATCAAGAGTTGGACACTTAACCGACTGAGCCACCCAGGCACCCCAAACATCGTTTTACATTATACAATATTACATTTATAAGCATTGTGCTTAATACATAGCAAAGCACTGTGCTAAGCATGTTGTATGAATAAAATTAATTCTTGCAAAAAAAACTCCAAGGGTGAATGCCATTAGTAGTTCCATTTTACAGGTAAGGAAAAACTGAGCATTCAAGAGACTGGACATCTTGCTCAAACTCACTGGGCAGCAAGCAAGTTAACAGCATCAGAATTCAACCTGTGACGGACTCCAAGGCCACCTAATGAATAAAGAAGGACGGAGATAGGTGATGGGGCAGACAGAAGGACTAACAGGTAGATGGAGGTAGAGAGAGACAGCAAATAGCCTTTGCATACTATTGCGAAACACAGCACTCCGGACGCAGCCTGCTGTCCTTCTCAGCCAGGCAGCCTAGCAGATGGGCTAGCAGCAGGAGAGAGATTCAAAAACCAGAGCAAAAGCTGTAGAACACGAGTGCTTAGGTTTCCGCAGAACCTCACAAGCAGGTAGCAGCTAAGTACATTCTCCAACCTATTGTCCTGAGCACCATGTGGGTGAGACTGCTCTCTGTAGTTGCAGATTTCTGTTTTTCCCCTTTCCTAGTTACGGATCGAGAGACGGCTTCAGACGCCCTGGAGAAAAGCTCCCTGTCCTCTCAAGACCCTCAGCAGCCCACTAGTACTGGTAAGTGTCAACCCATTAAGATTTAAAAAAAAAAATCATGCCTCCTTGGAAAGGGCCATTTTTCCAATTCTCATTTCTAAGTTTTTTTTTTTTAATTTTAACCTTTTTTTTTTTTTTTTAAGTGAGGGAGAGAGAGAGGTGGGGAGTGGAGGGCAGAAGGAGAGGTAGAGAGAGAGAATCTCAAGCAGGCTCCTCGCCCACCATGGAGGCTGACGCAGGGCTCCATCCCAGGACCCTGAGATCATGACCTGAGCTGAAATCAAGAGTTGGACGCTTAACTGACTGAGCCACTGAAATTTTAACTTTTAATAAGACAATGCAGGATGCCCTGCCCGGGCTCTAGCTCAGTGCTGTCCTGGAGGAGCTCCATACCAGCAGTGTTCCCTTAGTGGGATGGGCTTCGGGGTAACTAATACCTTGTAAGTTCAGCGCTATTTTGCTTGATACACACACGTGCACACGCGACTGTGACATTTGAATTTCCTCTGCAGTAAAGGGCAAGGTTGAATTCATTTATGGAGAGACTCGTTTCTTTGTTTTCTCACCCGGAACAGACCAAACACAAAATAAAGACTTGGTTTCAGCAAAGGGCAAAGAAGCAGGATCTGGAGATGTGGGGATTTTTGCCGTTGAATAACAAAATCACCTTTGAAAGCACATCAGTTACTTGGCTGTCAAGAACTCAGATAGTTTTTGATGACAGGATTGAACTCTAAATGCAGAATTACAAAGCCTGGATTATAATTCCAGTTTTTCAGACAGTGAACCCACTGGATGATTAGCTCTGGGCAATGCTCATGTATTTATCTTTGTATTTTACCTGGCATAGTATCTGACACTAATAGGTACTCAGAAAATGCAGTATAGGGGCGCCTGGGTGGCTCAGTTGGTTAAGCAACTGCCTTCAGCTCGGGTCATGATCCCAGAGTGCCGGGATCGAGTCCTGGGATCGAGTCCCGCATCAGGCTCCCTGCTCAGCAGGGAGTCTGCTTCTCCCTCTGACCCTCCTCCACTCTTGTGCTCTCTCTCTCTCTCAAATAAATAAAAAGTAAAACCTTAAAAAAAAAAAAAAGAAAATGCAGTATAAATGAATAAATACACGTATGAATACTTTCATTTGTTATGGTGTTTCGAGCAAGAGAGCCTCATCCAAAAAGGGCATAAACTCCTATAGGTCCTCTTTTTTTGTTTCAAATAGTGTGTCTACAGGAATTTCCTTGAGTAGAATAAGAGCTTTCATACCATTATCATATTCATAGCTCTGAGTATCAGATCACGTTCTTAAAATTTTTTTTTATCTGGAATAACACTTAAAAGTAAATGTTTGGGGCTTTTAAACACCGATAAAAACAATATGTACCATCCAGTTTTTTGAAGGGCAATGGAAACTGAAAATGATCTGAAGGGGCACAGCCGTATCACTTGCTTTAATAATTCAATATTTTTAAGCGTGTTTAGAATCTACTTGTCTTTAAATTGGCTTACAGCGCCACTAAACAACCCAATTTTCTGCTCTGCTTTTTCATTGATAAGATTTAATACGGTTTCTAAATTTCCTTTCAGCTTTCAATTTCTACGATTTTATTACTGTTAATAATACCCATTTCCAGCAGAACGGGTGGTTTCATTCCCCGCGGGATCCACACAGTGGCGCTGTGTAATGGGCTAAAAAGCAAGAGACTGGGGGTGGGGGGGGTGGGGACAGGAATAGGGAGGATGAGCAACGGAATCAGAAAACGCGATCTTTCATTTTTACCGCTTCTGGCACCTAGCAAAAGCATCACAGTATATGCCCGTTCTAAGGGGGAGAGGCAAGCAGAGGTTTGAATGACAAGGGAGCCTATTTTTCAACATAAAAATCATTGCTTCTCAGGCTGTTAGGTTTTCTTTCCACAAGGCTTGGGATGCCAATCTTCCATGCCCTGGTGTTATCTTGCACCATTCTGAAGACCTTCTAATAGGCCTGATTCAGGAAGCAAGTATAAAATAGTGGTGTACACTTTGCATTCTGAATTTCAGCATTGGCTCTGTCACATATTAGGTCCGTGACTTCAGACAACATACCTAGCTTCCAGAAGCCTCTATTCAGAGCTGCAGTGAGAAACCTACTGAATGCTCTGTTTGGGGCTGAGCCCAGAGCTGGTGTTTCGTAAACATCTACCTTTTAAAAATAAGGCGAAATAAGCCTGGTGAAATGAGCCATTTGCAACTATTTCCGGAAGAAGTCAGTGGTTCAAAAATGGTCTTTTTTTTTTTTTTTTTTACGGAGGACAACGTAGTTTGGTTTCCAAAGCTGCTTTGCTGCTTTGGGATAGCTGTGTATATATACACACTATTCATATACAGTCATATGTATATATCATGTCTTAATTTCTTTCAACTTAGTTACAGTAATGGAAGATTCTAGTACAACCAAGAGTGACAAGGAAGAGAAAGAACAAACCACTCAAGACCCTGACTTGGCCACTGGTAAGCATCCCCCTCAGCATTTAGAATAAACACTTGACATTTTAACCTCTTAATCAATAAATCCAATGGTCTTTTTCAGTCCCCATTTTTCTTGACCTTTCTATTGGTTAATCACTCCCTTGTTCCTTGACTTAGTTGTCTCCCTGGCTTCCTTGAAATACTCTGCCTGGTTCTGTGACTTTTTGCCAACCACTCTTTCTCTGTGTCCATCAGAGAACTTCCCTTCTTCCTCTGGATTCTTATATGTGGATACATTTCTGACTTTACTTCTCCATCCTTGATTCTTCCCTTAATTCTTGAAGAGTTTACCCATTCCCAGGGTTGTTCCTATTGCCACTAGGCAGATTTCCATACTTACACTTCCAGAACATGCCTGAGAATTAATTGCTGTTTCATTCCATCTCCTATATTCCTGTTGCTGGATTTTCTGCCATCTCCTTGAACTCAACATCACTAAAAACCAAACAGCACCTTTTCCCACAAAATCACCTCATCCAAATGATCACACAGGCCCCAAATTTTGGCGTCATCCTTCATTCCTGTGTATGTGTGTACACACAAACACATAGAAAATCAGTCCATCTCCAAAGACTTTTGAGTATCCTCTTCCAGAATTTTGTCGACTATCACTGCAATCCCTGGTCCAGACCCTCATCATCTCTTGCACAAGTCCTGTGACTTCAGTTTCTCCTCTGTGGTCCATTTTTAGGACTATGATCAAAACACCCCTTTGCATTCTTCACACCTGTGTTCAGAAAACATCTGTGGCTCCCCGCATCTACCACACGGAGCAGGAGCCTCAAAGCCTCCAACAAGGGCCCTCCATCCCCTGCCTCTGCAGTCCTCTCTAAAGTCCCAGGAAGAACACACATTTTTCTCTGACATCATCATCCCATTTTGACTGCCCTTCCCTCAACAACCTGAACTGCCCCTGAAGAAAGGAAAGGCCTCATCTTCCCTCTCCTTACCCTTCTTTCAAGGCCAAAGTCTTCACTGAGAACTTCCTAACTCAGGGACCACTCCTGCCTCTGAATCCCTGCGCACATTATGGTGTTAACACATATGGATCTAGAATTTTGCATCCATTTCTGACTTCTGTTGATTCATGTATTTATTTCCATAGAGAGAGAACTACCCCTTAAAGCACAGGGACCATGTCTTATGCAGCTCCAAGCACAATGTTCTACACAAAGCTGGTGCTCCTTCACTGCTTGTTGGTTGAGAGGGGGCCAGGACATCTGGGCAAAACTAGAGCCCATAGAATCAGAATGTGAGGTTTAGAAAGATCTTAAAGACCTCACCTAGTTTATGTCCAATGGCCTTCACGTAGGACCACATTTAACCTAGCCAACATTCGTGGATTTCATTTTATTTGCATAGTTTTTCACACTCCTTAACAACCTCTTGCCGCTTAACTACACCTTGCTAAAAAATCAGCCCTTACAGCTCATTTAAGTCCCCTGACTATAAGTCAATATTCTTGCATGTTTTCTCTGCAAATGAAACCTCACAGCTTCGGGATCTATGGAACTTCAGAGCATTTTTCAAATCACCTCACAGAATTGCTTTTTGTGTGTGCCTGTTGGCTTGTTTTCAGAGAATAAATAATATGAATCTCTTTCCCTTCAGGGTAAAGCTCTCTGTCTTTTTATCCGAGTTGCCTATCAGTCGAACTACATTTTGAAAGCATTGTGCAAATTCCTCAGTGACAAAAACAAACCAACCTTGAACTGTCTAAATTCATTTCATTTTCCGTACAGAAGCCAGTCTTCAGTATGTGGGGGTGATAAGGAGGAAAAATGGCATTCTACTGCTCACCCTTGTGTCCTTCCTCATCTTCATACTCTTCATCATCGTCCAGCTCTTCATAATGAAGCTTCGGAAAGCGCACGTGGTGTGGAAAAGAGGTGAGAGGCAGAGGACCCGATGGGGCGCTCCAAGGCGTCACACCACGGGGCTAGGACAAAGGAAATTCTGCCAACTAAAGCCTTTCTGTTAGATGCTGCACAGTCTGTTGCATAAGTGTTGTCATTCAAATAAGCAATTGTTGGTTTTGCAGTAAATACAGAATGTGAATCTCCAGGGGCTATAATCAAAGAGTGCGGAACCAAGAGAAATTAGAGTAGCTCTGGGAAATGACATTAAATTATAAAAGCTTCTAGTCACAAAAGGATCCCGAGTGGAAAACTCATTCATTCATTCAGAAAGCATTCATTGAGCACCTCTTGTGTGCCAGACACTGTTTCAGTCATGGGGGATACCTCTGTCAACAAGAGAGACCAGGTCCCCACTCTCAAGGAGTTCATATTCTAGGGACAGCCAATCAAAGGTTGAATATAGACTGTTTGGGTTCTGTTCTTACTTTGAAAGAATGTATTCAGCTTCGCTCACCCATAATATGTGAGTAATGTTTCCTAAGCATTCTGATTAAAAAGTTATCATTGGAAATTATACATATGTATATATACCATATATACATATATAATTTATCTACCATGGAAGGTACCTATTAAAATGCATAGATTCAACACATATCAGGGCTGGAAGGGACCTTAGAAGTTATCCAGAATAACAATCTACTCAATTCATTCCATCTGTGTGTACTAGGATAAATCTCCTCCTTAATTCTGAGTGATTATTTAGACCTATGCTGCCCAATACAGTGGCCACAATATGGCTATTGAGCACTTGAAATGTGGCTAGTCACTTTTGAGAGGTGCTGGAAGGATAAAATAGACACCCAACTTTGAAAGCTCAATACACACACACACAAATATAGTATGTCTAATAATAATATATTGGATCTACTAGGTAAATAATTATTAAATTAATTGCACCTGCTTCTCTTTGCTTTTTGAGCATAACACCTAGAAAACTTAGAATTACGCATGTGGTTCGCATTCTAGTGGTGCTGGACATCGTTGATTAAGCCACATATGACTCCAACACCTCCAGTAGCTGAGAACTCATTATGTCCCAAAGCAAAATACTTCCCCTTTGAATGGCTCTCACCCTATTGAAAATACAACTTCTTCTAGTTTGATGTCAATCTCTCTATATATTCAGCTGGACTAACTTTCATCATAAACAGACCTAGAGACAGGGTCTGGCTTTTCACCTGTACCTGTGCAATAGGCAAATGCCACAGCATTGTTTCAAAATCTCCCATTAATGCTTCACCCCCATAGTTCTTTAAGGGCTACTGGAATTGTCCCATCTAATACTTGATTCTAATCCATGGTCATTTGATTTCCGCAACTCTTACGCTGCCTAGCACAGTGCCTGTAGGAATCAGAGCAAAAAACAAACACACTTCTCAGAATGAATGAGGACATGAGGTATGGGAGGGCGAGTGGTAAGTCCACTATTGTGTAGACAGAAGGATCATCTTATTCAAACATACATTTGTACATATAGGTGATGTCTGGGGCGCTCGAAATTAATAACATAGTTTTCTTTTCTTGCAGAAAACGAAATCTCAGAACACACTCTAGAAAGTTACAAATCGAGGTCAAATAATGAAGAAACATCATCCCAAGAGAAAAAGGGCCAAAGTAAGTCAATTACATGACCTCAAATTTGAAAAATGAGGTTAATTTGTTGCCTTTAAGGAGGAGGGTAAAAATCAAAGTCTGATTTTTAGCACTAGAAAGTCAATCAACCTAAATCATCTTGTAGAACATAAGTAAATCTTCCAAAAATGAAAACTAGTGACCATTAAGTTCCTATGGCTGCAGATATGCCCCCGTGGGAAGCCATCCCTGAGTTCTTGCTGTCACATGCAGGGACATCCTGGGACCGTATGTCCCTCTTGTGCTCTGGGTATCTTACATACATCTTAACAATCCAGCACTTTCCACACCCCATACCATCTGCTCATTTCTGATGCGTTGCTTTAGCTACCACAGTCCTCCTTCAGGTGGTGAGTAGCTGGGTTTATCTATGTTGTGTCCTCAGATTCTAACACAGGGCCTGATGCCAATGGAGTGTCTGATGCATTTGTGTTGAATAAATGAACACAAGGCTTAACTGATTCAAGCAGACATGTTTTGGGTCTTTTGATGACTCCATTGTAGCTTCTCAAGCAAAATATGTAAAGAAAGTAGAAGGAAGAGTTTCTAAAAGGAGCTTGTGTGTGTGTGCGCGCACCTACGCTCATGTGTGTGTTCTTGACAAAAATCTAGTAGAGAACACCTGGTACTACAGGAAAGCAAGAATCTTCTACCTTTCTTTCAACCATTTTGGTTCCTCCATTGCAAATTAACTCATTCCATCTGCTGAGAGTTGCAAGCTAGGCAGAAAAGCTAACTGCTAGTTTCTATTGGTTTCATTGAGGTTTTTGTAGGAAGCTGGCCTTTCACAACACCTCTGCCTTTTTTTTTTTTTTTTTTTGCTTTGACCTAGTAAGGTGTGAAGTGGAAAGAATCACTGTACTAGCTGGGACAGGAGAACAAGAGGGCAAACCGTGAGAACTGGGGGTGGGAGAGGGAAGTGTGTGCAAGGCGCAGAGAGTCTGTTGTATTGCCCATGTTTCTAGAATGTCAGTGTTCTTGTCCTCGACTGGCAAGTAGGAGAATTTTGTCAGTATGACGTGTTAGTTGGATTGTTTCCTATGCCAACTTTCTTAAGCAAGGGGAACCAAAACAGTGGGTGTAGAATGATAACTTTCAGCAAGAAAAGAAAAGCCCTCAGCTCAGCTGTTGAATAAGCAGAAAGCCTTTGCGTCTCAACTTTAAGAAAGTTGAAAAGGACTACCTTTGCTCAAGGCTCCCTTCCCAGAAAGGTCCATCCCTAGGGGCTGGCCACGGATTGTGAGAGGGGGTACTTTCAACTGAGCTCCAACCTGCACTTCCAGCCTCCTTCCCTGGGCTCCCTCCAACCCAGCATTTCAACTTCACTGTTTTTGCTCACTTAAAAGTCATCCTCTGGAGCTATCTCCAGCCTCTGCATATAAAGTTACATGGGCTTTGAGTGATCTGCCCCAACCCTATGTTTTCCATAAGCCCTGTTACTTTCAGTAAGAAATTTGCTAAATACAATGTGGGTGGGTTTTTTTCAGGTTTTTTTAATAGCAGAAACGTCTATATATTTTATTTCAGGTTTATTCGTATATTTACATAAAAAAAGACTTTTAAAAAAAATCAGCCCATAACAATGCATTCAGACCATTTATGATATGCATCAATTTCAGATTTGATTTTTTAAGCCATTAACATATGAACCTAAAAATACCATGTGCAATCAAAGTGTCTCAAATAAATGGGTGCAGTATTGTTCAAAATAAATGGTCATCTTTGACATATTTTTCTTTCAGCTTTCCACTCTAAGAGCTACGTGAACTACATCACACGGTTGTACTCAGAAGCAAAAACAAAGAGGAAGGAAAATGCACAAAATTCAAAATTTAAAGAAGAGCCCACTCATATACCAGAGAGCATTGTGTAGTGCTCTGTGCAGTAGAAAATATGATTTGGGGGGCAGCCACATCATCACAGTGGGGCAGCCTATGGGAAGAAGCATAATAACTGTCACATGAAAAATAGACTTTGAGTGCAATGCAAGATGGTGTCCTCCCATGGCAATCTGCTCTGGATTCAGAGTCATGAAATGAGGACTGGACCGTGGACACAAAAGCTTCATAGTTTAAAAAAGAAAAGAAAAGAAAAGAACCTATTATGTCTCACACTACTTCAGAGCAGGAAGATTCTCCCAAGCCTTGGAGATCAGGGTTGATTTGGCCAGCAAACATCTTACCCTGAAGGGAAAAGGAGGTCCAGTTGTCCCAGAGGATCCAGTTGAGAATCACATGTTTAATTTTAGTCTCATTCAGTTTGGAACAGTTCCTTAATCTTTCCTGTACATTCATGACATTTGGGATAGTTTTGAAGATTGCAGCCTAGTGATTTTGTAAACTGTCCCACAGTTTGCCTTTGATTGTTTCTTCGTGATTAGATTCGGGTTACAAAACTCTGATGGGACTGTCACAGAAGTGATGTTTTGGTTATGTCACTGTGTTTTAGTTACCCCTTTCTTGATCACTTGATGAGGGTGCTGTCTGCCAGCTTTCCCCACTGCGAAGTTCCTCTTCCTCCTTTGTGAGCTGATACTTTGTGCAGAGATGCTTTAAAAATATGTAGATATCCTGTTCCTCGTCAAACTTCCAAGTCACTCATTTATTTATTTATGGACTCACGGTTTCCTGTTATTCAATGAGTTACAATCTGTTACTATCCTGTCTCACTCACTGAGTTATAATCTGTTACCATCAAACTAATCTCTTGCTAATTGGGTGATCAATTGTGGAAACAGGCTTCTGTGTCCTTCTTATCCTCAGCCTTTGAGCACTTTCTTCCTTTTTGGTATGAAATATTCCAGGCTCATCTTCAACTCTTGCTACCCCAGCCCTGTAATGAGCCATTTCTCCAAGGATCCCTGATTCCTTTTAGTGGAAAATGACATTTAGAAGCCAAAACCCAGGGGCTATGTGTGCACACTGCCTTTGGGATATCATTGTCCTCAAGTCATCTCAGTAGACAGAGCTAGGGAATATATGAAAAAGTGGGCATATAGTTGACCCTTGAACAACATATGTTTGAACTGCCGAGGCCCACTTATACACAGTTTTTAAGAGTTGACCACAAAAGCCACAGGGCATTTATTTACCACTGCCTGCCCCAGTCTCCAAATTGAAGGCAACTGGTGTTATGGTCGCACCTGCTGCCCTGTGACTAACCCAGGAGACCTACAGAGGCCATCAGCAGCCCCCAGAAACCCTGGATCCCTCCCCTCCAAGTCCTCCATGGTCTGGGTTCCCTGCTGGTGCTAGGGTGGCTGCAGGCCTCGGGCCCCTCCCAGGCAGGGCACAAACCCCTCCCCATGCAGCACCCTGGCCCCACCGCCATCAGGAGGCTGGCGGGCTCAGACGTGGTCACAGCTGCCTATCCCCACAGGCAGTGGTGCATCTCCAGGCAGAGGGGCAGCTGTCTTGCACTCCCAGGTTGCTATCACTGCCCACAGCCCACCAGGGAGCTGCTGCAGCTGACCTGAGGCCACCAGGCTGCAAAACAGCACCATCCAGAGGCCAGGTCTGTCACTGCCACCACCTCTGTCCTGGCCCAACCACCCTGCAGGTGGATTGTTTTTTCAATAAATATATGTACAATACTATAAATGTATTTTCTCTTCCTTATGATTATCTTAATAACATTGTCTTTTCTCTAGCTTACTTTATTCTAAGAATACAGTGTATAATACGTAGAACATACATAATATGTGTTGACTGACTGTTTTGTATTTTCAGCAAGGCTTCCAGGCCATAGTAGGCTATTAGTAATTAAGTTTTGGGCGAGTCAAAAAGTCCTACAGTAAAAAGAAGAAGAAGAAGAAGGTAGCAGGAGGGGAAGAATGAAGGGGGGGGAAATCGGAGGGGTAGACGAACCATGAGAGACGATGGACTCTGAAAAACAAACTGAAGGTTCTAGAGGGGAGGGGGGTGGGACGATGGGTTAGCCTGGTGATGCGTATTGAGGAGGGCACGTTCTGCATGGAGCACTGGGTGTTATGCACAAACAATGAATCATGGAACACTACATCTAAAACTAATGATGTAATGTATGGGGATAATATAAGAATAAAAAATTAAAAAAAAAAAGTCCTACAGCAATTTTTGACTGGGGGAGCCACTTCCCTAACCTCTTGGTGTTCAAGAGTAACTGTATATGTGGATATATGTGTCTATGTGTGTATATATATTTAAATCTATTTAAAATCATGGGTTTTTTTTTTTTTAAGTTTTATGTATTTGAGAGAGAGAGAGCATGAGAGAGAGAGATCAGGAGCAGGGGGGGAAGGGCAGAAGGAGAAGCATGAGATCATGACTCCAGCCTAAGGCAGACACTCAACTGACTAAGCCACCCAAGTGCCCTAAAACCATGGGTTTATTCTAGTTTTCTCCCTTACTCTATTTGTAACTACCTTTTCTGAGAAACCCCAGTTTCATTACCCTTAACCTATTTACTTATTTGCTCAATCCCATGTATACATGCGGTCTCCCAGCTCTGCTACCATTCCATTCTCCTGGAGCATGTCCTCTTCCTGTGCAAATTCTGACTCCACATGCTGTGGCCCCATCCCACCAGGTGGATGCTTTCCTCACCAAGCTTGGGCTCTGACCCCACACACCAGGTCACCCCATATATGGAAGTCCTAGCCACACACATAGCTACATGGCCACCCTCCCCACCCACTCAGGCTCAGACACACATGCCGGGCAGCCTTCCTAGGGGCACCGCCTGTTCACCAGGCTCAGACATCCCTCTCTCAGCCTCCACAGCTTCCCCACCAGCACCACCATGGACTCCTACTTGGCTATACCCTACCCAACGGCTTTAGGACTGAATTGTTCCAGAAGAGAGGAAAGTGAGGAGTTATGAGAAGAGGAGTTAGCTCAGGTCCTGATTTCTAAGAGGGTTTTAATCTGACATCAAGATCAGGCATGCGGGCGCCTGGGTGGCTCAGTTGGTTAAGCGACTGCCTTCGGCTCAGGTCATGATTCTGGAGTCCCTGGATCGAGTCCCGCATCCGGCTCCCCGCTCGGCGGGCGGGGAGGCTGCTTCTCCCTCTGACCCTCCCCCCCTCGTGCTCTCTCTCTCATTCTCTCTCTCTCTCAAATAAATAAATAAAATCTTAAAAAAAAAAAAAAAGATCAGGCATGCCATTTATATAGTTTTGTAACAGCTCTGGAGCAGAAATTGTATTCTGAAAACAGTCCAGAGAGAACAGAGATGGTGCTCGTCACGTCTGGTTAAATCTTGCTACTGTATCGTGCTACTCTAAGTCTGCGTTTGCAGATAATCCTCCCCAAGTGTGCTCACCGCAAATGTTTCCATTGCTCTGGTGCCTTTTATGCAAGAAGCCAAACTAAGGTGCCAATGTTACAGCAACATGCAAAGCAGAATGCAGACTCAGCTAATCGTCAGGATCACCTGAGAAGGTTTCATAAAACTGGGATTCCCAAGTTTGTCCTCAAAAATAGGCCTCAGCAGACCTGAAGATGGAGTTTCGGGATCGGCATTTTTTTTCTAAAGCCCCGAGTGATTCCAGTAGGTGAGGGTGCCTTGCTATAGCATAAGCCAGAATTTTTTAGCTGAAACAGATATACTATCATTAAAGCTGAATTAGGAATAATATTTCTCAATTTAAATTTGGCAAAGAGCAGAGGAAAGACAGGAAAATGAAAGATTTCTGGGCTCAGATAAGCTTGAAAAGTGCTCAACATTATATCGCGCCCATAGAGGTGATGCACATTAGCATAGCAAAGGCTCTCCCGAGTCTTCTTATAAAGGAATCTCTTGTTTCATTTAACCCAGCAAAGCTCAAACTTAACCATCTAGAGCAATTCATGATGTTGGCCCACCCAGTAACCATTTGCCCATGTCTTCCTCCTTACTAAATGCATCTATGATTTTGTTCCAGTATCCATCCCACACTATGTAGTCCTGTGCTTTAGGGTAGGTGAACGTCATCCGAACCGAAAAGAGAAATCACGATTGGTCTGAACCAGTTATGGTCCCATTCCCCTTGTTAGTGGTCAGTTTATGCTGGATACATCAAACACTGGGACGTGAGTGGAAGTTCCCAGAGGGCTTCTGGGAAAGATGTTTCTTCTTTTCTTTCTCTCCTTTTTTTTTTTTAGAGAGAAAGAAAGCACGCGAGCAAGTAAGAGAGGGAGGGGGGCCAAGGGAGACAAAGGAAGAGAATCTTAGCAGGCTGCACCAGCAGCCCCAGCCTGGGGCTCCATCTCAGGACTCTCGAGATCATGACCGGGGCCGAAATCAAGAGTCAGAAACTTAACCAACTGAACCACCCAAGTGCCCCATAAAGATGTTTCTTAATGATAAAAAGAGATACTCAGAATGAAAGCATCTTCCTTCCCCTAAAATGTTTTCATAACTGTGAGTGATGCTTGGAATTGCTACAGCCATTGTAAGCCCATCAAGGAAATCTGAGCCAACACAGAGAGAAGGGCATAGAAAAGGAACAAAATGACATGGAATCTTTGATGATTTGTTAAGCTGCTAAATATTTCAGAACTTCTTGTTAAGTGAGATGAAGAGCCCCATATTGTTATTTAAACCAGGCGAACAGAATTTTAAATAACAGCTCCAAAACGGATCATCTTGTGAACTACGGAACAGTCGTTTCATGAAACATTAGTGTCCTCACAAACACAACCTGGGAACCACTGATTTAGAGCAATTCTTTTGTACGACAGATGAGGGAACTGAGACCCAGAAAGGTCTCCTCAGCCCATCAAAGGCCACCCAACTAATTAGTAAGACAGTTGGGATTAGAAACTTGATATATTGGCTCCTAAAAAGACCAAAATGGGATCCTGCTTCTTGCCTTCCAATATAACTTAAATCCCCGAGAGACCATTTCATGCTCACATCTTCTCATTCATCAGATGACAGGGCTAAGGAAAAACTGAGAAATTTCCATTTAATGATCCTTCTTAATCTTACTTTTGGGGAACTAAGTCAAAAGGATGCTTATGTTACTTTCTCAGAAATGATTAAAAAACAAAACCAAAAACCAACCCAAACCAAATTTTCTGGCATCATTTGTACCATCTACCATTAGATGAACATAACAGAGAGCAAAAATTATACTACCCAACAGACTGAGCACACATCAAGTAGTGAGGCTCCCTGCAGATGAAAAAGATGGTTTGAACTGCCAATCATTCATGAGTCCACTAATTTAGCCTAACAACATAATGTCCTGTTACTTCCCCTGGTTGAGGTCATGGTAATTTGCTATATTTATAATGGGGTTTTGATCTAGATGAGATGTAGTTCTATTTTTACAACGTTACACCTTCTAAGAGAGAGCCCTCTTCCTTCCTGTGATGCATTCATTACTCTAGACCTGGTGAATATGTTAATTTTTTCCTACATTTTCTGCTCTACATCTGATTTTCAGAGAGAAGCAAACTAAAAGTAAGGCAGTAAAAGCTTATGTTCTCCCCCAAATGTCTCACAGTTGATCTAAAAAGAGGAGCAGGGGAAAGATCTTGCCTAAATGTAGAGGGCTAACTTTGTGAGAGCATCCTGTATAGACATTTTTAAAAAAGAAAATAATTCTGCATCTTCTGCAAACCCATGAGAAAATGGGTCACAATTTTTCATGAAGACCGGACACCTCGGGGCTCCTGTGTGGCTTAGTTGGTTAAGCGTCTGCCTTCGGTTGATGTAGTGATCTTGGGGTCCTGGAATCGAGCCCTGCATCGAGCTCCCTGCTCAATGGGAAGTCTGCTTCTCCTTCTCCCTCTGCCCCTACTCCGCCACTTGTACATACTCTCTATCTCTCAAATAAATTGAATCTTAAAAAAAGGATACCTCTTTTGAATTAGGTCCCAATTTGTAAAATAAAAATTATGTCTTAGAATAATACTAAACCCTGTGACTTCCAATGTGGTTTGAGGGAGACTAAGCCTCAGTTATCCAGACCAAACTTTTAAATTGAATTACCCCCTTTACGGAAGACAAACATAGAACAAATATTTCTCTTTAAAATGAGAGAATGCTCTCTCTTTTTTGCTTCCCCCAATTCCTTATTCCCAAGCTGTGGTCGCTTGGTTTTGGTCATGATTAACCTCTTGTATCTTCAATTTCCTTATCTGTAAAGTGAGGATAACAATTCCCCTCACACAGAATTACCATAAGGATTAAATGAGAAGATATAATGCAGGCGAAGTCTAGCCCAATATTAGATACAAATGTTAGCATTTTTCTCCTCTACCTGAGTTGTCTTCTCTTTGTACTAGTTTGAGACAATGGTATGGAGACCACAGAGTCTGGGTTTCTTTCCTGAGAACACCCCCATAACTGAACATGCAAAATTTTAACTTTAAAGCTAACAGAGCACAAAGGGACTGCTATGCAGACAGACACAGAGAGACCCAGTGGCACTGAGGACTTTTGATGAACATGGCCACCTCATCTCATAAATCAGTAGCAATGGCAGGAATAGGTTTGAATATTGACTATCAAATACAAATGTTAGACATGATAAAGATAGTATCTCATATCAGTAGGAAAAGATAAACATTTTACTAACTGGACATCCATACAGAAAAAGGTAAAATCAGAAGTATTGCTCACATCATAAACCAGAAATAAAATCCAAATGGATGCAAGACTGAAATGTACAAAATGAAACCATAGAAATACTAGAAGAAACCATGGGTTGATTGTTCTATAACCTACAAGTGGGAGAAAGTTCCCTCAAAATGACTCAAAATCCAGAAGTAAGGAGGGCAAAAGATTGATAAATTTGGCTACATAAGTTTGACTGCATAATGCCTTTTTATGGCGAAAAAAAAAGGTAAACA